GCCATTTGGAGTATCAAAGGCAGTGTACTTCTTAATGGAAAACACAAGTGCTGTTCCCTACACAAAAACCAGGAGGTTCACAAAGTTCAATGAAATTACATTTCATTTAGTGAGGCTGAATTGAATCACTTCACTTCTTGACCTTTTTTCCACAGTCATGTTTAGCATCACCTTAATACCAAACTGAATTGCATCATTATCAGATATCACTTTCCTTTTGCTAGAAGATTAACTTAATTTTATGAACAATAAATGGCAGGTAGAAAATCTTTCCTAGAAATATTAAACGGCTTCTTACAGAAACAGGAAGGGAAAATAAAGAGGTACATTGGCTTTCTACCTCTGTGCTGAAATCTACACTGAAGAGAGGAGAAGGTGGTGTTGGAGATGGTGTTGCCATAGGAAGGGTTGATGATACCAGAGGAGTTTTCTGTGTGTGGTACTGTGCCCACTGCTCTGGCTTCCGTCTCAGCTGCTCATCATAACCAGTCTTCAAATGACCACAAGGCTCCTAGAAAGAATAAATACAGGACTGGATATCCCATCACGCTCTAATCAGAAAGCAAATATATGCATGGAACACACCTGGGTCCCTACATTTCCTAAATTTCTGTAACCTGAAGAATTTCACAAGAATTTGTGGGCCCATGTATGGCAACTCGAATCTTAGATATGCAATTAATTCAAGCAACATACACGGGCATTAAAGAGGCAAAGGGGCTCTGGTCCTAATGCAGATCACAGTGATCTGTTTTGCAAACCCATTTTAAGGTTAAAAACAAAACAAGAACTTTGTCCAAGTCATACGTCTCAATCACTGTAATGAACAGGTCTATGCTAATTATTTACCAACTTTCTAGTAATGACCTTCAGAACCAAGTCTGCATAGAGCCTTCCCTTCCTGGCTCTCACTTACCCTTGGTAAAGGCACAGTCCTCTGCTCGTTTGGAGGTTGACAAGCCACAGAGTAATACCCATCCAGAGAGTTGTACCTCTCCCGCAATGATGTCTGATAGACAGATGAGTGCATCACATCCATGGGAGGTAAAGAATTGCTCCTAATAATATCATCTCGTGGGTACATCTGTGGGCGCCAGATGCGCCTGCTGTCGTAGACTGGAGCGTACATTCCAGAGGGGACAGGAGGGACTGGGCCGTAGGGCTGCGGAGGAGGAGGCTGGTAGGGAGAATTCAGTCGATCCCGAGGGGGAAATGTGCTGTAATGATCGGCATATGGCACGGAGGCAGGTGGGAGGGAGGATTCTGGAACGTTATTGGACCTCACAAAGCGAGGAACACAGGGAGCCACACCAGCTGGTACCGTTGGAGGTGCTGGATAATACCCTTAAAAATTGGAAAAAAGCGTATTTAATGCAGCCACAAATGACCCAGAATTATACACATTCTAAAACTGTAAACAGCATTGATAAGTACCTTTAGAGAATGAGGAGTCACACTTTACAAACCTCTTACTGACCCTACTAAATATTTTTCATGTATGACAACATATTTGCAGATACAGTGCTAGCCCTTCACCAACTGGACCCAGTTTGGAAAATATTGCTCCTATGTACTGTGGTGTAACTATGTAACTGAAAACAGAATCTTCAGCAATTCTTTATACAGGAATTTAAAATAGTTCTCTCTAAAATAAAAATCTATATTGGTAATAAATAAAAAATCTACAAATAACCATTTCACACTTGATTTATTGCTCTTTCTTTGGATAGGATTGCCTGAACATCTCTACCTTTTGGGAGCTTGTGAATGACTCAGTGCTGTAAACCACAATTGTCACTCTGAATATAAACATACACAGTGCAACCTAAAAAGATAACTGGAACCTTTAGAAAACATTAGAGCAAGCACAAAGACGTGTAAGCCTCCCAGCAGAAGTGTGCTATGCCTCTGAATCCTGCCCATGGATACCCTCATGGATAGGCCATGGCAAGAGCAAGCCTAAATAAAAACAATTAAATGCTACCAAAGGAAGAAGTACATGAAACACCTTGAGGTTCAAGTTCTTCTGGAGGCTGAAGTATAAGCTATATAACATACAGCACACAAAGGCAAGAACTACCAACATTGGGAGCAAACTCCAAGTCCCTCACATACCCAGCAATTAACAAGATTAGTATTACATTAAGAGAACATTCAGCTGATATTTAATAAAAAGAAAATAAAATAGACATCGATAAAACAGACATAAAAGTTCCTTTTCCAGAGAAAAGTTCAGAGCTATTTTTAAATCAGTGCTGATATCACTCACCTGTCTGTGGGTACTGTGGAACTTCATATGACAGCTGAGTCCTGGGATCTTGGAAATATTGAACATTATCAGAATGTGGAGGGTAGACAGGTACTCTGGGAACAAACGGGCTGGATTTTGGAGGCACAGAATTAACTTCTGTTCCAATATTAGGAGGACCAGCTGAGGTAGCTGCTGCCTGGCTTACAGGAGTCTTGGGTGGAGAACCGATTTTACTGAAAAGGATTAGCAAGAAATCATTTAGCAGATCTTCACTTATTTCAGTCAGTCACCTCTTCATGTACACTCCCACGTAATGTGGAAATTCGGGTAATTCTGCAGAATTACCTAAAAAGTTTTAAATGACAATCCCAAAGCTAGAAGGTTTCAAGGAAGTGCACACTCTGTGCATTCTTCTTGGTTTTAGGAAATGTCAAAGTCTGAATAAAATTTATTGCATGTAATAACATACTTGTATGTAATAAGCCAATAGTATGCAATATGTATATAATTTATTTGTATGCCATAATTATTATTTTTATGTAAAAACCCAAGAGTAATTAAGATCCCAGGCTGAGAACAACCAAGTAAGAGATAAAGGGAGAGATTTACCATTTTGTCTACATTGCACATGAGCTAAAACAATGCACTACAGCACATTGCACATGAGCTAAAACAATGCAAGACCTTACACAGCTCTGCAGCCATTGAGCATCAGCAATTACTGCAAGCCAAGACCACACTTCAGTATCTGCTGGCCACAGACTCCATTGATTATTTTAGATAATCTAAAAGCAGAATGTTCTGTTACATTGTCTTGATGTAAAAAAGTCACCTACTTTTCAGGAAGTGATTCTGTGGGGGACCCAGAAGTGTTCTGGCCATTGGCTCCAGTCTTCCCTCCCTTCTTGGTGTTGTCCAGAGCTCTCAGGGAGGTGTCTGCACAGCGAGGGATCAGCTGGGGAACCCCAGTTTCAAGATTAGCTATTCCATTAGTACTTGGCACCATCTTGCCCGTTGCCTCAGGGCTTCCTATGACAGAGATGACGTTTCCTGTGGTGGTTGAGACGGTGCTGTTTACGCCAACTTTGTTTAGAAGGGGGAATGTTCTCACTGTTGCACTGATTTTTTTGTTCCTCAAGCGGTATCTACGAACAAACATGCAAAAGACAAGATGGTATAAAAAGTGCTTTTAATGGATTTGCAAAGCTAGCAAAAAGAAGGGATTGACATGGAACATGACACCAAAAAATTACAAACTTATTTTTAACAATTGGAACCCAAAGTCACGTCTCCTCTTTTAAAAGCCATTCTGCAGTTCTTTGAAAATCCATTTGGGTGAAAACAACTTCAAGAATGCAGAGCTGCATATTGTTCAATAACTCAGTTCACTCCTTCATCAAATAAAATGTAATTAACATTCTCTCTTGTAGGTAATATAACCAACCCTTGAAAGACACTGAGCTGGAAAGGAAATTTTACTTCATATGGGTTAAAATGAAAAATAAAACTGGAATTAGTCTGCAAACATTGCTCTGCTGACTCTTCAATTTCATATAAAGAATTGTCATGTCAAGAGTCACTCCAAATGAATGAATGTACGGAAGAGAATGTTTTAAAAAATCTCAGTAGATTGCTTGGATTTAAATTAAAAGGTGGAAAAAAAAAAGAATAAGGAAAAAGTCTCCCACACTCACTTTTCAAGCTCTTCCTGAGAATGAGCAAATGTACAGTTTGTTCCTCTTGGACACCCCCCTTGCTGTCGAAGGTCTCGGCACATACTTGTTTTGTATTTGCTATTTGGTTGTGGCTACAAACAAAGAACACAAGACATTCCTCTTACCATCTATCAGACACTCATATAAAAGTAGGCTTAAAATACAGAAAATACATCCATGGCATGCTTTTGTATTTTGCATTTTTAATCAGAAAAACAAGGACATTCCTTGTTGAGGGGCTAAGTTGTCCTTGTATGGATTTCTCTACGGCCAGTTCTGCTGCATTCCATATTCACAAACGTTAGGTTCTCAAAATCTGAATGCAGTAAATAACAGTATCATCAATTATCCAACAGGAAAGGCCATAAATATTCCAAATCAACAGCAATTCTTCTAAGTCACATCTCCCAGTAAATGTACATTAAGAAATAATGTAATGATCAAGTCTGGTTACCTGTGGAGTTTCATGCCCTTTTCTACTGTAATTCTGAATGAAATCCACCAGCCCATGGACCACAGTCTTTACAGCCACCATTGCATTTTCCAGCTGCTCCCATGTTGGAGATGCTGCATCTAAAATGATGAAAAGAAGGGTTGTCACTCTGTCAGTTATTCCAGTATCAAAAATAAGAGGCACATCTTGTACTACTTTACAACACCAAGTACTAGGACCGAACTCAGAGAGCCCTGAAGAGTTTATTATGCTTATTAATGGGAATTTCAAAACTAGGAATGGAAGTTACCATCTTAATAATTTATTTTGCTAGATATGAAGAATACCAAGAAAAGTTTAAAAAGCTTAATTTGCATACCTGGATTTGGATCTATGTTTGCCAGGAGCTCTAAATGAGGCCTCAGCCTGTTTAAGTTTGCAGGATCCCCCGTGCGCTGCAAGACAATTGTCAATTCTTGTACGCTCTTAGCAAAAGATTCTGGAGATTGAAGCTGAAAATAAAGAGAGCATTAGTGTGTTACATCTTACAGCTGTCAATTACTAACCTTAAAAAAGCTATTCATGACATTGGTTCCTAAATGCAATATATAGTGTCTTCAGATTGCATATAGAGAGGATCAGTGGAGAGAAACTTTATTTCTCAACTCAGAATCTGCCCTATGAAGCTTCATCATAAGACACCAAAAAGTTAATTAAAGTACTTCATATGATGAATATGCTACATCAGGGAAAAAAAAATCAATCTAGTTTTAATTAATATTTGATAGGACTATGAACAAAAAGTTAATTCATGGAGTTCTTTGATTTTTCTTGTAACATTTAATAGTTAAAACTAATCCTACAAAGATACTAAAATCATCCCTGTAACAAACCTTGTCAATAATGGATTGCATGTGTGATTTATGTGCCAGGTCTCCATAAAGAAGGGAAGACCATTGTTCTGGTGAAATTCTAAGTCCTGCTTCCATGGCAATGTGAACAATTTGGGCATCGTGCTCTCTCCGCAAAGCCTCGTAACTCCGGAACTCTTCTTTAAGCTGCATCAGAGAAGAATCTTCATCCCTTTTAGTGACCTAATAAATAGCAATAGTTCAATATTCCTTCTTTAACCAAAAATCTCCATGTTCATCATAAAAAACAGCTGCACAGCACAAACCACAATAGTGGCGTTTTACCTTAAAGCATGATGCTCTATACAGTAGCTGCACAACATGACCAATGCTTGTTTTAGAGGCCTGAGGAAATCTTGGTTCCAATCTTTGCACAACAAAAAGTACCAGAACTTTTCTTGAGAGTGCAGATCCATCTTCCAGTGCAAGTAATACAAGTTTCAGTGCCTCCTCTTGCATAGCTTTAACACATAAATACGAAAGTTAAATATACTCCAGAAAACAGCAAGACTACTATATTTGAACAGGTAAGCAAGAACATCTAAATCATCTTGAATGTAATTCCCTATTGCTTTTTATTTTACAAAAAAAAAAAAAAAAAAAAAAAAAAAAAAAAAAAAAAAAAAAAAAAAAAAAATTTTAATAAAAAAAAAAAAAAAAAAAAAAAAAAAGGCTTTTAAAGAAAGTTGCTAGTTTAGAAAGTTTAGAAGTAATATTTAGAACCACTCTAAGCACAGCAAACTCAGAGCTAAGACCAACTTCCAGTAATAAACACATCAGTAGTGCAGTTTTTATACTTTTCTCCAATGTGCAATCTTGTAGCCATTGTTCTTTTGGACACCTCTTCAATGCCACACCATAAAACTATAAAAAAAATATGGGAACAATACTGGAATGCTAACAACAGGTACAGGAATCAAGACAGGATAACTTCTTTTGTAAAGAGAATTTCCTTGTTCCTGTTTGCTTTAGCTGTCTTTTTAACTATGGATTTGTTTTCTATCAGAGATATAAATCATTATAAATTTCAAAAGTATGCTGCAGCTCAGGTTAGGCTGATTGTATTGACAGCTATTCAATTCCAGTAACAGGCAGCAGTACAGCTGGCCTGCTACACTCCATTACAAACTGTGCACAGCGTGTGCTTATTGACTCCTCTTTCCCAGGATTTTTGAAATACTCCCCCCCAATTTCAAAGAAGATTTAATGGACCAGCAGGGGAAACAACTAAAAACTTTATGCCCAAAGATTTTACTATTTTTTCCCCCCTTCTCCTTTCTTTCTGGCAGAACATCTTCAACTGAACAGAAGAAATTTCAAAACATTTTTGTAAAGAAAAGGTACAGCTAAACATATTCTGTTGCAGATGCACAGGTCCCTTACCTGGTCCTAGAAACTGGCACCCTCGTGCCCTGACAGCAGCCCAAAGATTGGCAGAAAGCTGCTGAGGATTTTGGTGCTGCAGGATGAGCTCTGTGACAGTTCTCTCTCCCAGCGACCGAGCTGCCCTCATGGCTCTGACCCGACCCTCCTCCTCCACCAGCTGACAATTCACCAGTGTCACAAGCTTCCTCTGCATGGGACGGCTCAGTGCACTCTGATTCAAGCTTGCAACACCTTCAGAGAAAGGGAGAAAAGGCAAAGCAGTGCTTCTCATCAAATTCATCTGAGTGAGACAAAAAAAATGTCTAACAGTATATGCCTTTCTCTAGGACTTGGATACCAGTCACAGGTACCTTCCCTTCTCTTAGGCAACTCTGTGTAATTCTTTATCAAAAAGAACTTTAATTAAAATCTTAAACTGACATCAAAGCCATCCTTTGGGGAAAGTTCAGTTTCAGTACAAAGTTAGCCCCAAGGCAGTATTATTAAATAGAGTATTTTGTAAACTTAAAATAAAAAAACCACAAACAAGTGTCACAAGTGTGAATAAGCTTTTAAAGACACAAGGCAATTTTATTAGAAAAATGAGAGTATTATCTCACTGACATTTACAATCAGTGCTGAAAACACAATGCTCTGAAAAGCAAGCTACATCAAAATTCCACTGTTCAGCAGAGACTCACCTTTTCCTCCACTTAATGGCTTTAAGTAGAGTGCCAAATCCTCAACACATTTCTTTGCTACTTCATAATGTTTGTTCTCTCCTACATTACTCAACTTTACTGTCTGATGATCAGGTACCTAAAAAAATGCAAGGGGGAGGAAGGGGGAGCAGAATTACATACACCTGGCTGACCTCTCTGATGGTACCCACATCACCATTAATTACATAACACTGCAGATGTGCACTGCTCTGAGAGCAGGGCGACACAGGACCCACCCAGGGCATGTACATGGCTCAAGGAATGACAAAAAGGGCCCAAGATGAGGATTAGCATGATGAAAGATTGATTTTGTTATTACTCAACACCTTAAAAACAGAAGTAGGGTAGAAAACAATAACCAACTGTCTAAAAGATGAAGAACACTAGATCTGAGAAGGTGATCAGCATACCAGATCAGTATGATTTACTACAAAAAAGCTACAGGACAAAACAAACTAGCAAGACTATAATACAGCAAAGTTTAAAAATTATTTAAGCATCATTTGGGCATACTAAAATCTTCCAAGAGAAGAAGCAGGAAACTTAGTGGAAAAAAACTTGAAGCAGAGTAACAAGGTCAGATAAGGAAAACAGAGGGAGTGTTAGTCATAACAAATTGTTAAAATACATTGCAAGAACTTAGGAGACCATGAAAATAAATGTTGTAAGATCACACCAATGATCTGACACAAAAAAAATGAAAGGATCACGTGAACTTGAGAAACAAAACCACTCTGACATAATGTCATTACCAATAGCTGTGTCAAGGCACATGATGGGACATTAAAAAGCAAAGTAAATAACATCTTCTTACTGCCTCACGAAGGTGTTAGAGAGAGAGAGTAACATGAAAAAGCACATGAATCAGCGTAAGACTTATTTAGTCTCCATAAAGTGCAGTACTGATTATATAATCACTGTTTTGCCACTGCTACGAGACAGCGCAGGGAACATTCCTGGCCTGATTAGCCAGTGTCTGCAAACGCAACTGAAAAGCCATCATCAAGCACATTTAAAAAAAAAAATTATACACACACACTTCTGGAACTTGGTTAAACAGCCACTTCCAAACATGTGACGTTTAGGAATGAGATTTCTCACAAGCCTAAGATGAACAAGTGCAGTCTGCAGGTTCACACATTCTACTGACAATTGGGAAAGATAATTGTCTGCTTCCCAATGGGAATTCTTCTCCAGTCACAGTTCAAGAGCCTTTTAAAATCAGAATTCAGGTTACAATTAGAACATTTTATTTTATGAGAAGATGGCCCTAAATGGTGAAGTTGCTTTTAGAGTATGTATAGACTCCTAGAGAGTCCAAAGTTAAGCCTTACAATTTATTTGGGCTAAAATGAGGAAGAAAGAGCAGCACACATATTGCAACTGGCACGGAGAAGGCAACAACACCAAGTGGCAAACAAAGAGCTGCTTCAATCCTACCTGGGCTCCAACCAGCTGGAGGAGTGCAAAGTTCACAGGAAGCACATCGATGTCTGTGTTGATGGCAGTCTGGTCAAAAGGACATGCCTTGCGATGGAGCTTGTTCAGGCAGGTCTTGCACACGGTGTGAGAGCAACCTAAGCTGATGGGTTTGTGCACATTCTCATCAAACTCATTGTAGCAGATTGGGCAGGACAGAAATTCTGTCCACTGAGCTGCCTGCACAGGCATTGTGGAAGCTGGACACTTGTTTAGCAGGCTAGCAGACCATTATTTCACTGTACTATGTTTTGGCAGCTGTAAGTGAATAACAGAGTATTTAAAACATGCTTTCTGGCAATTTAGAATAACTTTTAATTAAAAAAACAGACCAATTTCAATATTACCAAGAACAAAACCAAATCTTTATGCTGACGTACTCAAAAACCTCAACTCTGGGTTAGTTTAACAACTGTACCAAAAAAGGCTCATGAACTAAATTAATGCAGACTACCCTAAGTTTAACTCATTCACAATAAATGGCATTAATTTTTCTTGGGGGGGAGGGGTCTGGTTTAGAATGTTATTTTCATTTCAAATTAAGTAAAACAACGTCTTCCTTCTGCAGATCTTATTTAGATTTAATCAGACACCAAACCAAGCTGAGCTTTGCTTTTTTAAAAACACATTTTCTCTTTCTGTAAAACACAAATCAACTAACAAATACCAAGAGCCATAAGAAAACACTAAAAGAGCAAGACCAGTTTTTAGTTTTATGATTTTCGTGTTACTTCTGCCTTTTCTTGTAAGAACTGGAGCAGTCAAGGGCAGAGATTGCTGTGTGCAATTTTGCTTTTCATGTTTCTACCTTACATATAACTATGTCCATGAACTCTCAGCAAGAAAATCTTTGATGTATGTAAAACCCAGGTATTTAGGACAAAATCTATGATGAAGCAAGCAATAACTTCAGATGGCTTCCTCATCTCTTGATATGTCTCACTCCGTGCAGTAGTACCAAATAAATTGTTTACATAAGTGTATTTCAAAGAAAATATGGCTTTATGGAGATTGTTGATGTATCTTATATAAGTCACATTCCTGAAAAAGGTACCAGGCCTAAGAAGTTCATCAAAACCGTTCTCATCCAAGCTTCCATCATCACCATTTACATTCAGAGCTCCACCCCGGAGGGAGTAGCCCCACCCTGGGCTGTGCTGCGCCACCGTGTTTGCTCTCTCGGCAACCTACAGACCAGTTGGGTCACTTCAAGGCTATGAACAAGATTGTTACAAATG